CAAGCTTGAGTATTAGATTTTTTTGCTCTTTTATTTCTCTCCTGTCCTTGATTAGATCTTTTTTGCCTTTATGATTCTAAAATTCACATCTCTGCCCTACCTTTTTTTGTTGTTGTTGTTCATTTAGATTTATTTTGATTCAAAGTTCTGCTTTATACTGCATCCCATTTTACAAAAACACTACACATGAATAAAGAAAATAATTATTTCTGGCTCTAAACCATGACCTATCTCTGGCTTCTCCCATACTACAAATGGTAGCAAAATTAACCCTTTAACCAATTTCCAAAGATTAAGGTAGAAAAATAAGCTAATTCTTCATTTCCAATTTTCAAGTTTGTAATGATGTATGTAACAGCTTCAGTCTAGATCCTCAATCTTAGCACATCACAAAAGCAGTAACGCTTGTTTTCTTGTTTTAAAATGAAATCATCATACATTGACCACACTGATCACTATTTCCCCTTTAGGCCCTAGTTGTTATAACTTGAACTAAATGTTAACTGTAAGCTATAACACTCTCACCTACCAGCTTTGTCAGCTCTTTCCCAACTTTTCTAATTTGCGTTAATTTGGCAAGCTGTTTTCACAATTTGCATTTTACTATTATATAACCTGCCTATAATTTTGTCTTCATTCCTTGAAAATGCTATTTTAAGTCTCACATTCCTCACCATGTATTCTGTGCAAAAACTTCTACTTGATTCTAGGTCATTGCAGCACTCTGGCATCTCACATTTCTTTAAAGAGAGAAAGCTAGCTAAATATATGACCTTGGCTGGGTGCAGTGGCTCATGCCTGTAATCCCAGCACTTCGGGAGGCCGAGGCAGGCAGATCACCTGAGGTCAGGCGTTCCAGACCAGCCTGGCCAACATGGTGAAACCCTGTCTCTACTAAAAATACAATATTAGCTGGGCGTGGTGGCATGCGCCTGTAGTCCTAGGTACTCGGGAGCTGAGGCAGGAGAAGCGCTTGAACCCGGGTGGTAGAGGTTGCAGTGAGCTGAGATGGTGCCACTGCACTCCAGCCTGGGAAACAGAGTGAGACTCCATCTCAAAAAATATATATATATACACATAGATAGATAGATAGATAGATAGATAGATAGATAGATAGATATGACTTTATGTTTTTATGTAAGTTATTTAGCTATATTCTTAAGGAATAGTCTTTGTTCTTGAAGAATATTCTTTGACTTTTCTAAATATTTCATATGATAGTTTTATGGGTGAGAGTTTTAAAATAAAACTCTGTCAAAATAAAATTAATTTATTTTTATTTTAAACTCTGACCAATTTTCCAAATACTTGAGGCAGAAAGTTTTCTCTGTCTCCACATTGACTCTCCATACAATACGTACATGTAATTTATTTTAGTGAAAAGATTCCTACTCAACAATGGAGGTCAATATGCATTAACTGAAACCATTCAAGCCTTCAAAAAATATTCATTGTCCAACAAGTGTACCCAACTATGGTGGTCATTAACTCAGACTGGTTAAGGGGAGACCAATAAAATAAGTCAGGTATTCTCCTGCCTTCATAGGGTTCATGTTATGAAGGGGCAGACAGAAATCAGACAGTAAAAAAATAAATAACATTTATAATTGGCTGAAATGCAAAACACCCCTGATTCATATGTTAAAACCCTAATCCTCAGTACCTCAGCATGTGCTGTATTTGGAGATAAGACCTTAAAAGAGGGGATTAAGTTAAAATGAAGCCATTATAGTAAATCCTAATCCAGTCTGACTATTGCCCTTTCCAAGAAAAGAAAATTGGACATGTGAAGAGGCATTAAGTGTGCCCATGCACAGAGGGCCAACCATGAGGAGAGACATAAGATGGCGGCCATCCACAAGTCAAGGGGAGAAGCTTCAGGAGAAACCAACCCTGCTGGCACTTTGATCTTGGACTTCCAACCTGCAGAGCTGTGAGGAAGTAAATATCTGTTGTTTAAGCCATCCAGTATGTGACATTTTGTTACAGTCGCCCTAGCAAATGAGTATAGCACCAAACAGTGATACATCCTACAAAAAACAGAAAAGAAGGGATGGATGCGATCTGACTTTAGAGGCTGTGGAAGTATCTTTGAGGAGCTGACATTTGAGTTGAGACATGAATTTTGAAAAGAATTTTTGAGGAAGCTGATATTTGAGCCGCTGAGTGAATTATGGGATGATTTGGGTGAAGATAAAACTATAAAGGGCAAAATCCCTAAGGCGAGACAAGCTTGGCTTGCTCTGACAGTGAAAAGGCCAGGGTGAGTGGAGTTAGTGAGCATGGGAGAAATTGTGGTCTAAAATGAGGAAAAATCAAAAACAGTTCAGCTGTCACTGGGTCTCGTAGGCAGGGACAGGAGTTTATGTTGTCACTCTGAGATGAGTCATTGAAAGACATTAAATGATCCTCTTAAGTCTGGTTTAAATTGAAGTGAAAAAATTTAAAAAGCACACAGAGATGGTTTCCTCTTCTAAATACCCCTCCAGGTATGATTTTGCTCTCATCCTGCTCAAAAGGGAGTAGCCATCTTTAAAAAAATAATAATAGTAATACCATTTGAATTTCTAATATTGTGCACAAAACCTTCAAATAAAAACAGCTTTACTGTGCTTTGCTATATTGTATAGAGAGGAAACTCATTTCTAAACCATCTTTTTAGAATGAGCAGTATGCGCAGAGATAGAGCAATACTGCATCTTTTATTTTGGGCTCTATTTAAATCAAATTAATTTTGTATTCCCTAGTCATTATAAAGCCCACAATGTTTTAGTTAATTGGACTATAGAACAAACACAATGGATACTCTCTTTTTCTTTTTATTTATTTATTGATTGATTGATTTTTAGACAGAACCTTGCACTGTCACCTAGGCTAGAGGGCGATGGTGTGATCTTCGCTCACTGCAAGCTCTACCTCCCGGGTTCAAGGATTCTCCTACCTCAGCCTCCCAAATAGCTGGGATTACAGGCATCTGCCATCATGCCCAGCTAAATTGTGTAGTTTTGTAGAGATGGAGTTTCACCATGTTGGCCAGGCTGGTCTTGAACTCCAGACCTCAAGTGATCTGTCTGTCTCCCAAAGTGCTGGGATTACAAGTTTCAGCCACTGCACCTGGCCACAATGGATACTTTCAGTTGATAATTTGTGAGTTTTTGCTTACAGCATTTTATTGATTAGTCTTAAAATATCGCGTAGAAAGCATTGATACAAGTCTATCACAGAGTGTTAATTAAAAAGTGATTGTTAGTAAAATATAACAAATGAAATACATTTAGAAGTAAAATATTACACTACTAATATAGAGAGTCCTCAGGATGAGAGTTGAGTGTCTGCAGATACTACATTTTAGATATCTCCAAGAAAGAAGTCAGGTTTTATTACTATTTTTTTCTGTTATTAGTTGGGTGTATTACATAGAGATACTCAATTTTAACCACAGAGGGCCTCTTTATTTACTTGGCAGATTCTTAAATATTCTGCTTTTCTTCCACTCTACACTGTAAGAGTAACATGATTGTTATCAAGCAGAAGGGGCTTGCTGCCCAGTGTTCTAGAAGCCAATATTATGACACCAGGTTCTTTTGAGGGAAAAAAATGCTTTGTATTGAAAGTCACCTCCCAAGGAGACAGTGTGTCAAGCTCAAACCTATCTCTCTGTCTTGGCTTCAAACAGTATTTGTGTTATTAAAAAAAAAAGCTTCAGAGGCTGGGCACGGTGGCCTACGCCTGTAATCCCAGCACTTTGGGAGGCTGAGGTGGGCCGATCAGCTGAGGTCAGGAGTTCAAGACCAGCCTGGCCAATATGTGAAACCTCATCTCTACTAAAAATACAAAAATTAGCCAGGTGTTGTGGTGTGCGCCTGTAGTCCCAGCTACTCAGGAGGCTGAGGCAGGAGAATTGCTTGAACTCTGGAGGCGGAGGTTGCAGTGAGCCAAGATCGTGCCACTGTACTCCAGCCTGGGCCACAGCAGAACGAGACTCCGTCTCAAAAAAAAAAAAAAGGAAAGGAAAGACAAGGGAAGGGAAAGGATGAGTTCAGTTCAGAGAGTGGATTCTGTGATTAGTGGAAGAAAAGGAAAGGTCTGGGCTGGGCGTGGTAGCTCATGCCTGTAATCCCATCACTTTGGGAGACCAAGGTGGGAGGATCACCTGAGGTCAGGAGTTGGAGGCCAGCCTGGCCAACACAGTGAAACCCCACCTCTACTAAAAATACAAAAAATTAGCTGGGCGTGGTGGCGGCGCCTGTAATCCCAGCTATTCAGGAGGCTGAGGCGGGAGAATCAGTGAAACCTGGGAAGCGGAGGTTACAGTGAGCCGAGATTGCAACATTGCACCCCAGCCTGGGCAACAGTGCAAGACTCCACCTAAAAAAAAAAAAAGGAAAAAAAGAAAAGGGAAAGTCTGGAAAGTCCTGGGCGTGTGCAGTTATCTCTTCATGCTATCTCATGGGTCACATGTGCAAATGCAGGTGGAGTTAGTACAAAACATGTGGCAGGAATTTAGGCTGTGATGTCAGCAAACTCATTCTGCACAGACCTCAGTTTGCCATATTGGTTCCAAGCAATTTCAACCAGTTATTTTATCTCATAAGCAGAGGGAGTGTCAGGGTTTCAGCAAGTTATTTATTGTTTTTTTCTGCCATTCTGCAAACTCAATACTTTCTTTTAGTCATGGGTTTCTTTAACTCTTTGGGGCATTGTTTCAAAATTAGGAAGTTAAACTTAGTTTATGTCATATATTCACAAAAGCAATATAATTGAGTATTCATTTAGTTTATAGATAACATTCTTCAGAAGTACAATAATCAAGGAAGAAAGTGATGAAGACAATATAGATATCAATTAAATAAATGGACTGGTGAAAAGTCATGACAAATGTAAAAACAAAGACCACCAACCAGCTATTTTGCTTAATAATTGAGTAAAAGCAGTGAATGTATATTTCTTGAAAGTTTACATATTTAATAATTTACAAGGGCACATATCCAAATACTTACAGTCATATGCTTCATAATGACTTTTCAGTTAACAGTGAACCACAGCCAGGCGCGGTGGCTCACGCCTGTAATCCCAGCACTTTGGGAGGCCGAGGCAGGTGGATCGCGAGGTCAGGAGATCGAGACCATCCTGGCTGACACGGTGAAACCCCATCTGTACTAAAAATGCAAAAAAAAAAATTAGCCGGGCGTGGTGGTGGGCGCCTGTAGTCCCAGCTACTCAGGAGGCTGAGGCAGGAGAATGGCATGAACACGGGAGGCGGAGCTTGCAGTGAGCCGAGATTGTGCCACTGCACTCCAGCCTGTGCGACAAAGTGAGACTCCATCTCAAAAAACAAAACAAAGCAAAAACACAATGAACCACATATGCACCAGTGGTCCCATAAGATTATAATGGAGCTGAAAAATTCCCCTATCGTCGTGTGACATCAGAGTCATTGTCATTACAGTCATAGTGCTATGTCATTACGTGATCGTGCAGTACATTACTCAATTGTGGTGATGCTGGTGTGATTTTAAATTGGTGTAAACAGACCCACTGTTCGGCCAGCCCTTTAAAAGTATGCCATATACATTTATTTACAGTACACAATATTTAATGATAGGGTTTGGGTTTGTGTCCCCACCCACATCTCAAGTTGAATCCACATGTTGAAAAAGGTGGCTGGTCAGGGCACGGTGGCTCACGCCTGTAATCCCAGCACTTTGAGAGGTCAAGGCGGGCGAATCACCTGAGGTCAGGAGTTCGAGACCAACCTGACCAACATGGCGAAGCCCCGTCCCCATTAAAAATACAAAAATTAGCCAGGCATAATTGTGTATGCCTGTAATCTCAGCTACTGGGAAGGCTAAGGCAGGAGAATCGATTGAACCTGGGAGGTGGAGATTGCAGTGAGCTGAGATTGTGCCATTGCACTCCAGCCTAGGGCGGTAAGAATGAAACTATTTTGTTTCAAAAAAAAAAAAAAAGAAAAAGAAAAAGGCATGTGGTGCCTTGTAATTGGATTATGGGGGTGGACTTCTCTTTTGCTGTTCTCATGATAGTGAGTGAGTTCTCACAAGATCTGGTTGCTTAAAAGTGCGTGGTACCTCCCCTTTCTCATTCTCTCTCCTTCTCTGGCCACAAAAGACATGGCTGCTTCCCCTTCCCCTTCTGCAATGATTGTAAGTTTCCTGAGGCCTCTGCAGCCATGCTTTCTGTACAGCCTGCAGGCCTGGGAGTCAATTAAACTTCTTTGATTTATAAATTACCCAATCTCAGGTAGTTCTTTACAGCAATGCGAGAACAGAGTAATATACTTAATGATAAATGACTTACGATGTCACTGGTTTATGTATTTACTATACTACACTTTTTATCGCTATTTTGTAGTATACTTCACTTCTATTTATTACAAAAAGAAGTTACATGTCAAATAACATCAGGCAGGTTCTTGAGAAGATATGCAAGAAACAGGTATTGTTGTACTGAGATGGCAGCTCAAGGTTTGTTACTGTCCTTGAACAGCTTCCAGTGGACAGGATGTGGAGGTGGCAGACAGTGACATTGATCATTCTGACCCTGTGTAGTCCTAGGCTAATGTATGTGTTTGTATCTTAATTTGTAACCAAAACAAGTGTAAAAATTTTTTAAAAATTAAAAAATAGACATCCGTATAGAATAAGGATATAAAGAAGGAAAATCTCTTTGTACAGCTGTCCAGCGTATTTGTGTTTTAAGCTAAATGTTAATGCAAAAGAGCCAGAAAAGTTTAAAAATGTAAAAAGTTTATAAACTAAAAAGCTTAAAGTGACATAAGGTTAGCATATTATTGTAGAAAGAAAAATCTGTATTTTATCAATTCAATGTGGTCTAAGTGTATAGTGTTTATAAGTCTACAGTCATGTACAGTAATGTCCTACAACTTTACGTTCAATCATCCCTCACTCATTGACTCACCAAGAGTAACTTCTGGTCCTACAAGTTCCATTCTTGATAAGTGCCCCCTACACAGGTGTATCATTTTTATCTTCCATATCATTTTTTACAGTAGCTTTTCTATGTTTAAGGATATTTTCCTTAAACAAATACTTATTATATTATAATTGCATTCAGTATTTGGTACAGTAACGTGCTGTACAGCTTTGTAGCTCAGAAGCAACAGGCTATGCCATATAGCCTAGGCTTATAGTAGGGTATACAATCTAAGTTTGTGTAAAAACACTCTAGGATATTCATACAGTGATGAAATTGCCTGAGGACACATTTCTCAAAACATACCTCATCATAAGGCAACACATGACTGTATGTAAATTCTACAAAAACTCATGTGTTACATTTCTGTGCAATCTTTTGTGTCTTGAGAACAGAGAAAATTGGACAAACAAATGTCAGCCATTAAAAGTGACATTATTTATATAGAATACCCAAAAAAGTAATCTCTCTGAATGTGAATTACTGGTACCTTATATATGGGCTAAATTAGGTATGTTTTTCAATCTTTTATAATGTTGAAACATCAAGGTATTTTTAAACCCTTCACAGTCCTCTTTGAAAGCATTTGATGCATCAAGTACAAATGCTGACACTTATAAGATCTAAACTTATAAGGGATTAATCTAATAATCTGCTTTCATTCTCTAAAAGTACGTACTAATCACATTTCCTTTTAATTTTAAACAAATTTAAATGTAACATGCAGTTGTGGGTTAGCGACTGGGTATTTGCTAACAGCTCTCCAGAAATATTCAAGCAGTAGGCTGTAACTTCTGAGTATATAGTAAACATGTTCGTCATAGGAATTGAGTTGGTGTTCAGTATTCAGCAGTGTGTATATATGCATTATGTATTAATTCTTATTACAATATGGACATTCCAGGGCCCAAGACAGCTGTGAATATTTACAGCAATAGATTTCCTGAGCTGTTCTGCTTAGTAATAGGTTGTTAGTTATAACAATGAACTTAATATTTGCACTCATGGTCATATTTATTGTGACTAACGTTTCTCTCTAACACTGGCCCTTTGTATGTAATTTTTCCAATTTAATTGCTTTACAAAATGTGCAATTATAAGACTGATCAAAGCTGTCCGGTACTGAAATTCTTGGACTTAGATTCATTTTTCTCCCCCAACTACCAAGGTTTTTTGCATAATGAGAACTGCAATTTAACTGTTCATTTGGTGTACACAGTGGAGAAACAAATCTGGGAGAAATCCATGGTGATCATCTACTTTATTCTAGGCGCTGTACCATTTGCTTTGCATCTTAATGGAATCTTTAAGACATTTTCTGAGGTTGGTTATTATTCATGTGAAAAAATTACAACACTACTCTTAGAAATCAAGGTCATATTTAGTCATTTACATCATCCACATAGAAGCAAAATTTGCTGACGCAGTCAATAGAGTGAGAACATAGTGATTTTTTTCAATACTAATAATAAATACAACAAAATAATTATAATAAATTTAAAAAGTAATAGTTGAAATTGTTTTTATATAGTTTCCAGTGCTGCTTTTCACTTATTCTTTCTGCCATTCTGTAAGATCTACATTGACCTTATTTTCATTTCACAAGTAAAGATACTACCCTGTGAGTGATGTTTTTCAAAAACACACATGAAATATTAGCAGAGTGAGGGCTAAAACCTAGAAATCTAATTTGTAAATATTGTTGTTCTTTGATTATAACATTTTGGAAATCGTTTGAAAATTTCTGAGAAAATGTTGCAATAAATTTCTTGAATGGAACATCTCACAACATGCTTTGATGAAGATCTTGTCTCAGTATAGAAGGCAAGTCTCGGCCAGGCGCGGTGGCTCACACCTGTAATCCCAGCACTTTGGGAGGCCGAGGTGAGCACATCACGAGGTCAGGAGATTGAGACCATCCTGGCTAACATGGTGAAACCCTGTCTCTACTAAAAAATACAAAAAATTAGCTGGGCATGGTGGCAGCGCCTGTAGTCCCAGCTACTCGGGAGGCTGAGGCAGGAGAATGGCCTGAGCCTGGGAGGCGGAGCTTGCAGTGAACCGAGATCGCTCCACTGCACTCCTGCCTGGGCGGCAGAGTGAGTCTTCATCTCAAAAAAAAAAAAAAAAAAAAGGCAAGTCTCCAGATGTGACGAACGAGATGTCCTCCCCATGCAAAGTTAATTCACATTTATAGCACCTTTATTTTGGCTCTGTTTACATCACACTTTCCCTAACAGGGTCAACTTACTCAGATCTCTAAAACCAAGTACTTATCATCTGAAAACTCCTTTGGGATTCTTTTGTAATATGCATATTCCAAAATCAATGTCAACATATTAAGATGTTACTTATTTTCCTCTGTAAACAATCATTAAGATATAGTATATTTGTAAGCAAATATACTTTATCTGATTTTCTAAGTGTTTATCTCTCAAGCAACAAAACATTCCAAAAATGATTTGTAATTTTATGTTCAAATTTTTTTCATCATCAAAGCACGCAGAAATACACAACATTTACTGAATTAAATAATCTACATTTTTTAGTCTTCTAATTATTATCTAGAACTTTTTTCAATATTGTTCTTATAAAATAGTAGTGTCTTCTTGCTACAGTCAGAAAATGTAAATGTTTAGGCCAAAATAATTGGAGAAAATGTAATGAACCAAAACACAATTCAGAGAAAGAGCATGATATGGGAGGGGTTTTGTGGACAGTGACAGCAAGAACTTTTCGAGAGGGGAGATCTAAACTTAACATTTTCAGTGAACTCAGAAAAGAAAAGGAAAACAGATAAATATCAAGAACATATTTTAATTAGCTACTGAAAATCCTAATTAAATATGCACTTCTTACTTTCATAAGATGCATTATATAACCAAAAGAGATTTTGCTAGTGATGACAAAATGCCTTATAATTACCTTGGTAAGTCTTAAATTCCCTCAAAGAAGATGTAGAATGTATCTTTTAGTATCAGATTAGAGAGTCAAATTTCTCTAGGGGTTGATATCATTAGAAATTTCAAGGCCTGAAACATGTCATATTTCTGTTTTATTCACAAAGAAGACAGATTGCTCAAGTGTCTACCAAATCTAGTATTTTTCTGTCCTAGTTTCAATAATAGGTTGCTGCTTCAGATCAATATAGCAAGCAGATTAAATCAT